AAAAAAAAAACGAAGGCGTTCAAACGCAATTTTTTGCTAAAAGAAGAAAAGAACACAAACAATGGTTGAACATTATCAAACACAAACTCAAAATGCTCAAGCTCAGCTTGTTCAGTTGGATTACATAATACTAACTCATATCCAAAGTTTACGCATTATCCAATAATATTACTAGCATTTAACTAAACATGTTAGATTTATACATTCAAAACGTGAGCCAGCCAAACCATGAACAAGTAATAGACCACGGAAAATTTGAAGTCATCCAAAGAAGCAAGTATCTCAAAATTAGGGCACAGGTAAAAAATTAGACATAATACAAAACACGATCCGGACAAACTATCACAATAATCATCCGACACAGTCAATTTTTTTGTCGTTTAGGTCCATTGGCGAAGATCGTAGTACAAAAAATGATACGAACTAACTACAGGGATGCTCGTGAATCAACTAAGGAGGCCAATATGAACTACTGGTTTAGGATCGCCACATCCAAGTAATCGCCAATCTGCATTTAAGAAAGAAATTAAGATCTAATCGAATCGATATTAGCTCAGGTAAATTACATAATATAGTAAGAGAATCCCTACTTTTTTGGCCTAATTAGCCCTAAAATAGAAGAAAAAAGGATCAGTTATCGTTTATAAGAAAAAAAATACTCAAAATTTGTCTGTGCCAAAAGAAAGTGCACCCAGACATGGGAGAGTGTTATATATATGGTAAATACAATAGCTTTGGTGAGGATCTTGTAATGCCAAACGATATTGTTTGCAGTTTTGCAATGCTTACAATTTATGCTGCCTGGACACAAAGGATATACGAGTTTACCTGAAAACTAAGATCACCCAAGGCTTTGTTTCCACTATCAGGCCGTCTCGGGTTAGGGTAAGAAAATGTTCTCCCCACCTTTGAAAGAAAAATAAAAAATCAGATAGAAGCATTATGCATTTTGCTCTTGCAATAACTTAGATACTACTTAACTATTCCTTGAATATTTTCATTCAAACATTTAGAAAGTTTTGTGTAAATGAAAAGCCCAAGACTGCTCTCATTGCTACTCTAATTTCAAGGAATGCTTTCCAATCGAACCATCCACACAAAAAAACCAGGGTAATAGATAGTGATGATTATATGCATATGCACAAGTGCGTGGGGCTAATATAACTGACCTCCCTAACCACAAACCGACCACGTTTATCGGGATAAACAAAAGCAAAAGACAGAACAGCATCTCTTCTTCTTGCTTCGGGAGCTACCTCTTTAACCTGAAAAAAGTAAAACAACATTAAGATAAGAAAAAGACAATTAAAGATGGTAAATGCAAGTTTTCCTCTTAAAACTAATGGGAGAGCAGTCGTGACAGCTATGAAACAAGAATAGTTGAACTGAATGCATCCAGTCACTCCTTTATTCAGCAAAAAAGGTTACAGCATAGGTAGACCTTCTCATTTATAAAAGACAAAATCTGCAAGTACATATGCGTGCAACTGATATTGAGTCTAAGAAACAAGAATGGAAAAGGGTATAGATAATCGAGCATGTTCTTGTACCAGATCAGTTAGTTCACGCAAAGTAGCATCCATCCAGGTGTAAATTTGGACCTCATCTTTGGGTTCCTTGCCCCTCACAGAAAAATCATCATCAGTATGATGACCTCCCACCTGTGGAAACAAATTTGACGAAATTCAAAGCATAGAATATAAAATATTTAAAAAAAAAAAAAAAAAAAAAAAAAAAAAAAAAAAAAACTGTATCATTGACACGACAAAACAATGTAATAAAAATGGAATACATACCTTGGTGAAAACGCGAAGCAACAACGGGCAAGTCTGCAATAACCAACCAGTTGGAACAGAAAATTAGTATAAAACAAGTGGAATATGAAGAAACAAGAGAAAGATGAAAGAGTTCCATTAATTCTTAAAAAGCTCAAAATTTTAAATCCTTAGAACTAGCAAAGCAAAAACTTAAAAAAAGATAAGCTCCTCCGTCTGTCTTGGTTTTGACATAAAAATGTCATATTCCATAACAAACTATAATCTCTACGTGCACCAACATGGAATATTGATAATTAGTCCGCTAGTCATTCTAGCCGTAAAACTCATTATTGTTTCAACTTCCCATTTTCATTATAAGACTTTGTAATGTTAGTGATGGGTTAACGACTCCCACCGAATTCTACAGATTTACTACAAAAATGTAATTTGTTAACTCCTGAAAGTTCAATTTCCCAAGTACCTGCCCGAGGTTTTAATGGATTCCAAAGAACGCACAACAGTGAAATTCCTCAAATGTAGTGTTTTCAATATGTAATTGAACAATTTCAACTATCTCTTTCCAAATGCACGGAATATAAAACTCTTCTTTTTTTTCTGGAAGGTAATTGTGATTGAAATTTTGGATGCATTTTTCCATAAACCCTAAAAACCTAAACCGACTTGCCAAAAAAAAAAAAAAAAATCCCTTTAGAAATGACACTTCTGACTGTTAATAAGTCCGGGCAACAACGTAGAAAGAGGATAGAAAATGAAACGTTCAGCTGAAACTACATAACGATGCATAAAAGAACAGAATCACTTTTGTATTGTATCAAAAATCAAACATAAACAGAGGGAGAAGAAGAAGAAGAAGAAGACCTTCTCACGGTCGACAGGTTCAACGCGAGGGGCTGGCCTGGCAGCGGGAGGCGGCGGTGGAAATCTTCCCGGAGGAGGAGGCGGTGGACCCCTTCTTCTCTGCACGTCTGCCATCTCGCTCTCTAGTGTGCTATACTTTTGCTCGTCGTTGTTACCAAGCCATTTGAATGGCCATTGGGATCTTAGAGAAGCCGGGCCAGCCCATATGTTTAGACGGGCCTGACCTAATTTCTTTGGTTCAAGGGCCTAACTTTAACGTGCCCACACATTTTAGAGACAATGATAATTCTAGAGGAATTTGCACCCCGTACAATAACTTATGATATATATGACACTTGTACACCTATTATATTCTTATTTATAAGATTACTAAAACAAACACAAAATATTGCACTTATACCTAAGATATGAGATTCTGTAGATGTAACTGCTATTAAGTAATTAATTAGCCAAATTAAATACAATTGGGATAATTTAATCTAATCAAATATATACTTGCCTAACATCCCTCTCTCTGCTATCATCTCTCTCATTCTCCAAACCACCCACC